AAAAGCTGAAAGGAAGGGAGGGGAAGAAAAGAATTTCCTTTTCTTTTTCCAAATCAAATTTCTAAATTCATTTCCAAATGATTTTTGAATCTTTTTGAGTTTAAATCAAAACTACTCAACATATTAAATAAAATGTTGCAGCATGGATGCATCAACATGTATCTATCCTTATAGTTCATTGTAATTTCATAAAAATATTATTTTCGATATTTGAATGCACACATAATTGCATAAATAAATCAAATTTAACTATTTTAAAAGAATGCAAAATTTAGGGTGTTACATAAAGTAGACTACTAGAGTCATATGTAGGCTACTGTAATTTTCTAAGAAATTTATTGAGCACTGGAAATATTTATCTTGTAAATCACCTTATTATATGAGGAAATTAATAAATGAATATAAATAAATTAGTTAGGCTTAACCATGATATTTTATGTGGCGCTTGGGATGCATATGATCTGTTGATGTTATAGGTTAACCTTAGAAGTAATTGGTTATAGACAGCTAGTTAATTATTGCTTTATAATTCAACTAGATGACTGCATGTATAGTTTCTATTGTTGTAATAATTTCATGATGATAATGACATTTTCTATGGAACTTGATAATAACAAAGTTGTAGATAACTTACTTATCTACCTTGTGTTAAATTTTCATAGTCATAGGCCTTATGGTTTAAGAATTTTGGCTGATAGAAGTCTGATGTTAGAAATGCTAGCTCTATGGACTGATCTGAAAGATTGAATTGTTTGACCTAGATAACAACTAAATCACATTAAGATGATTAAAATAAAGTTGTAGAAAATTTCATAAGATTTCCAGAATGTCCATAACCATATTATTTTGATGTGTATAACTCCATTTATGGTCAAAATAAGTGGCTGATGTCTTGTAGTCCAGAAAATGATTTACATAAGTGTTTGTTTAAGTTACTAGAGAAGAGATATGCACCTACTCAGTAAAAGAAAATATAATTTGTTATAACCTTAATGCAATGCTACTGAGAACACTTATGAGGATGCATTCATCATATCATATCATATTATACATGTCATTATATATGCATCCATGATATCTTATTTCCTGCTCATGCATATAGGATCGTCCGAGGGGATAACTCTATTGGAATTCGACGAAGAGCCGAGTAACAATAGGAGGCACCCTAGCCCATTACTCCAGAAGGTGAGGAGCAAACTCTTGAGGACCTACCTGAGTGTCCGGATCACAGGCTAACTTCCTTTATCAAAGGCAAGCCCTGGAGCATTTAAGCCTCCCATGTTTTACAAAATATCACTTGAGTCATTTATGTTTAATGCATTAAGTTATAAGAGTTGATTGGAAACACTTGATGCATAGAACTACCTTGTTTAGATATATATACATTTAACCCTATGTAGGTCTAAGATCAAATATATGCTTAGCCATGCTTAGACCGGAAGAAGTCGGGTGATTTCCTATCAACTGCGAGATATAGGTGGATACCGAGGCACGGTTGGCTATATTTGCTATCATGGAAAAGAACAATTGGGTAATGTAACTGGAGGTCGGACAGAGTCTATGTGTAGGTTGACTCATATGATTCCGTCTGTGCCAATTAAGGACCGTATTGTTGTTGGAACTTTTATCGAGATTGAACGCATGCCTCTCACTTAGCTGGCTAGACAACTTGTTTCGACCACGAAGCCGAGTAGCTCAACTTAGGCTGGGCCCTGTTATGTGAAAGTGCGCGCTCTAGATGGTAGTAAGGATGTGCGGGGAGCCAAACATGAGCCCAAGGGTAGGGTAGTCCAGATCATCCTGGCAGCTGGTCGTCCCTGATTGTGCGGCGCTAATCGAACCCGTAAAATGTGGACCTGAGTTGTACCAAAGGTGACCTAAGGTGACCGTTGATCTAGTCTGCCTAGGTTTGTGTTAGGAATAAATTCCCAGCTAGTTGAAATCGATTCGAATCGCCGTCTCTCCTGGGCAATGAGAAACTTGGCTAGCTCTAGCATCGTAGTAACTGGATTATGGAATGATGGTTATGGTGAACTCGGAACTTTTACACATGGCTATGGTTACTACTGCATGCTACTAAATGATATACCACATGTTCGGCATAGGTTAGTTGCTAATCTAGAGATGAATAGCTATAATTAACTTGATGACCAAATTATAAATGTATAACTGAATTAGTAGCTTTTCATGCAAAATGTTGTCAAGCTAGCTCCACTTATAAAGCCTTGCATGATCCTAGGAGTCACTTTATTTTTGGTTTATGACGGGTAAGTCTAGCTGAGTACCTTCTCGTACTCAGGGTTTATTTCCCACTTGTTGCAGATAATACGATGTATCATGGCTACTGTAAGAACTACTTCTATCCCACCGTGGATGAGGAGTAGGGCCCTGGGCAAGGCATCTCTTGTTAATACCTCTCTTATGCTTTTGTGGGATTGTGATCATGAGCTGGCATAGTATTTGAACAATGATGGAGATGTTGGTTTCAAACTTTAATTGCTTCTGCTACTATTTTACCTGAACTTGGTTTGTAATAACTTTTAATCGTACTCTGATGTATGGAACTGTATTTGTGAACTTTATGTAACGTGTGACATGTATGTTGAATCATGTACGATCTTGGTTGTATGTTGGTTGAATCGAGACCCTTCGTGGTACTCGACGGACTATCGGGTTTATATGGGCTCAAATATGATAGTGCGATCGCTTGCGGGCTGCTATTGTACTTGTGCTCTTATAAATTGAACGGTTCTCCTACAACGCTCAGAAGAAAAATTGGACGCCCATCGAACGATGTCCGAGTATCAACCTCGAGCCACTCGTGGTGACCCACCAAGGGAGGCAGCGAGCCCCCGAGCACCAAAAGACGGGCTCAGGAACTATACGAGTGGCTCGGTCGAGAAGCCCAGGATCTCTCCTCTGGGAGACATGATTAGGGCACAGAACAACCATAAACCTGGTGTTCTCACGGGCTCACCTGCTAGTAGCATGGGCGCAGCAATCTTGGCCACCGAGGCCATTGTCGTAATAGCCCATCCCAACAAGGGACCAAAGTCTCCGAGCATGACTCGTGAGCAATGAGATTACACACGAAAGTAATTTCATTTATTAATTTGGAATGAGCCGGTTACAATATACGACGGCAAAAACCTCTACAATGCCATCGCCATGGTGGTGAGAGCCGTAGTCGCTCGGTTGGGACTACCAATCGAGCTTCCGTGGCACGCAGATAGGCACAGTGAAGGTCGGGCTGGCCCCTTTCCCCACTAGTGTTTGGGAATGCACCGAGGTTGGAGGCACCTCTACACCAACCGACCTTCTCCCCCAAGCCAGCGACTCTCGGCCAAGCTCACCAACACGAAGACCCGGCGAGTCCCCAGACCGCTGGCTCTATCACTGATAAAATAGAAAGACCCCTTCCACTGATAAAATGGAAGGACCCCAAGTGACCCACGTTGCTGGGATCCTTCCATTTGCTAGGGAAGGACAGCGTGATAGGGACTCGACGTGCCACGGCGTAGGGAAAGCGTCAGTGCTAGCAGTGCTCGGGCCACCAACAGCGCTAGAGGTGCTAGTCCCCCACACAGCGCCAAGGTTCTGGCAGCAGCTCTTGAGTATATGGATCATCAACTATTGGACGTAGGGCATCAATTGGCCCAAACCAGGATAAACCGTTGCATCCCCTCTATGATTCTTGTGTTCTTGAGTCCACCTGAGCCATCAGAGACATGCACTCTAACACTACTATGAACAACAATGCTTGTCGTGGTTCCAACCCCATGGCAGCATGCATGGGAATACTCCGTCACAGCCATCTTATTATCTAAAAAGTTTGTCAATATACGCCTTTTAAAATTTCCAATTAGGCTATCACCCCCCTGTAGCTATCAACCAGTCCTTTCATTTACGCACTGTATAATGAGCCAGAGCCATTTGGAGCCATGCCAAACAAGACCTTATTAGCATTTTTTTCAAAGGGTTGTCAAACTCATCTCACCACGTACGACACTCGATTCTAAATGCAACATTTCTTAGCCTTGCTTTCTCTTTGTTGTTTCCTTGGTCCACCGACACCAAGCCCTCTACATCGCACCTAGGCCTCTAGCTTGCCCTTTACACTTGCAGCCCGGTCCTTCGTAGCCAAACCTCGCCACTTGATCTTCTCCACCTAGCCATATGACTCTATGTCATGTACGTCTCATATACAATGAGCTCCTCCAACCTTCACTAGAGCACTATCATCACATGACCAAGCCACCTCTTCACCATGGTTCTATATCTTGCTCAACCTAGTGTACAAGTGGACTACGTACCTGTTCATCTCACATGAAACACATTAGTCTACCTAAGGTTGTCACTCAATTACCAAAACTAAGCTAGGACTTTCACATGGACTTTGTGTTCCTCTCCACAAAGCATGGAAGGCCCACCATCATTGAGCCCACATTAATGGGTTAGGGCATTAAGCAAGCTGGAGGCATCGGAGGAGTGGAATAAAGGGGATTCTAGGCAACACGGAAATACGATTGACTTATGTGAGATCAACATTGTGAAATATGTATAAAGTGGTATGGCTTGGTTATAGCAAAATGTAATGATAAGTTAGACAAATAGTGTAATGGCATCGTGACATTTATACTAGCTTGATTCCAACTAACCCATTATCTTTTGACATCACCAACATTTTCTAACCAATGATGATGCCTATCAGCCTATATATGATATAAGACAACACAGCAAAATTGATAAAATATATTACAGCTCACCCCTAAAATAATTAAATATGTATACTTTTTTACATAACAGAGGAGGGGTTGCTTCCTAGGTAGATATATTAATAAAATGAGATATTACTACTGGAAAAAGATAAGCAAAGACTTCAACAATACATTTACACAAACATGATAGTATAAGGTAGTGGTGATTAATATGAACTAACACCACTTTATTATTGAGTAAAAATATATTTATCTCTGATAGCATGCATCTCTACAGCAGTATCATTCATTGACAATCTCTGCACCAAGCTGAATGACGGCCGACAAACATTCCTTGGTTTTTGTTATATGTCTTGTATCATTGCTATTATTTATTCCATCATGCAGTGAAATGTTGGAATTTGCTATCTCCATAATCTTGTCAGGAAGAGCTGCCTCGGCATAATAATGCAAGCTTATCCCATCTCTAAATATATCATCTATTGGGTTCTTCCCTGTGAACATCTCGATCAAAGTGATGCCAAGACTAAACACATCTCCAGAAGTTGACACCGCAAGCCCTTCTCCATATTCTGCAGTGGAATGAAATATGAGGATACATAGGTATATATGTATAAAACTAAAAGACTACTTGATGTGCATCTTACTATTAGTAATTGGATAATCCTATTGGAGCCTCCACACAATGCTCACGAGACAAGCCATAACTAAAAATAAATTTGACATGTTCTCACAAAAATAAAAGGCATCAGCCATCAATTCAGTGTACTATAGTTATCAATGGTGATAATATGCATTTGGTATATTGTGCTTTCTAAAAAATTATACACCTCTGCCATTATAAAAACATTCTTAAATGGCCTTTTCTATCTTGTACATTTAAATTACCAACATATGACAATGTGAAAACTAACTGAAAATAAGCCCTCATCTTCATCTAAATTATCAATTATGTCATTGTGAAAAATAACATATGGTTACCATTGATTAAAATTTGCTTCCGAGTTACCCACTTGTACTGTTATTATAAACATTCTAAAGTAATCCTGAGTCTGAATCTAATAGCAAACATATGTTTTTTTAAATTATCCCAAAAGTAACCATGTATATTTTCCATGTTATCCACTTATTATGGTATAAACGCATGACATCTATCACTATGTAGATGATGGGTACATGTTTGAGGGAAGCATTGAATATGCCAGTATCCATGTCCAACGCATAGCGGAAGCTAAGATTCAAACTAAGGACAAACATATGAGCAAATTGTAAAGAGCAAAGATAAGAAATTTTGTTGAGGTCTACTCTAACCCAATTATCCATGAATTTCTGTCACATTTTTTTAACAATTACTAACCCATGCAGCAGCACATATTGATGAGCTAATAGGGATAGATGCTATCATTTGAAGCATGAAACAAAGAAAATTGAGTTACTTGGAGCAATGTATCCAATGGAACCTCTTATTCCTATGGTGCTACTGGAGTTGATGTGTTGTTTGCTTGTTGTTTCATCTAGAACTCTAGCAATGCCAAAATCTCCAACACAAGCTCTCATTTCCTGATTGAGAAGAATGTTACTCGGCTTGAGATCGCAATGGATGATCAATGGCTGGCAACCGTTGTGAAGATAGTCCAAAGCATCCACAATGTCCACGGCGATATCCATTCTCTGTGACAAACTGAGTGCTCTGTGTCCATTTTGGCCATCCAAATTTGGGTGGATCCATCCATCTAAGCTGCCATTAGCCATGAACTCAAAGACAAGTGCTCTAAAGTCTTGACCCTGGTGGTTGATGCTAGAACAACATGTAATGATCTTTCGAAGGCATTGGTGCCTCACTCTTCTTAGTGCCTCACATTCAGCTTGGAAGCTTTTGTAGGACCCTAATTGCTGGACATTAAACACCTTAACAACGACGACAATGGCTTGATTTTCTAGTGTGCCCTTGTATACTGTACCATATCTTCCGTTTCCAAGCACATTTGCTTCTGAAAATATCTGTTCCTTCCAGTATATCATTGTACCGAACTATTGGAAGCTCTATCTCTGTAAATTGTGGTGGCAAATCATTCTTCGGTACTGTCTTGGACTTTCTATGGTGAAATCCAGCCCAAACTAGAAAAAGTAAAATGAGACTTCCTATTGTTGGGATTGTTATTCTAAGAAACTTGGTATGTCTTTCCTATTCTTTCTTGCAGAAAAGCTTGCACATGTTGGCAGAAGGAGCTGTGGAATCCCCCACATAACGCATTATTACCAACAATTGACAGTCCAGTCAATTTTTTGAAAACTCCTCCTTTTGGTATTTCACCTTGCAAATTGTTGTAGGACAGATCTAGGCGAAGCAGCGATGTTGAATTACCTAAAAGGTCTGGGATTGTTCCAGATAAATTGTTGTGGCCAAGATACAACTCCTGTAGGTTGGTAAGGGTAGCGAAGTTGCCTGGGATGCTTCCATTCAGTTTGTTGTCCATCAAATTAAGTACAGTCAAGCCTGCCATGTTCTTAAACGTAGCAGGTATGCTTCCTTGGAATGAATTGCCATCCATTAAGAGGAGTTCCATGACCCTGCAGTTACCAATAGTATCAGGTATCTCACCTGACAAATTGTTACCCGATAGGAAGAGCTGTCTGAGATATACCAAACTACCGACTTCTAATGGAAGTGGTCCCTCCAGCATGTTGTTGGATAGATCAAGAAACATTGAGATTGATGGCAACTCCATAATTTGGCTAGGAATCAATCCAGTAAGGCTGTTATTTGGTAGACCTAGGAGTAAAAGTTTGCTCAAGTTTCCAACGCTTGGTGGAATTGGCCCCTCAAAGCTGTTGTCGTCTGCATAAACTTGAAGTAGGCTAGAAAGGTTTCAAATGGAGGATGGTAGATGTCCTGACAGGTAGTTTGAAGCAAAGGCTAGCTGCTGCAAGCGCGTAAGCTTCCCGATGCTTTCAGGAACGACCCTAGTGAGTAAGTTTATGCCAAAATCAAGCTCTTCAAGACCTACCAAATTTCCAATATCTGAAGGGATGACACCGGATATGTTGTTGTTGGAAATCTGCAGCCACTGGAGATTAATAGACAGATTAACCAACGGAGTTGGCAGCTTCCCTGAAAATCTGTTCAGTCCAATGTCTAGTCCCTGTAATTTGCTACAATTCACTAAAGAATCAATAAATTCCCACTCTTCCTCATTGTTTGCCTCTAACATGTTCTCATCCAGAGCAAACACTTCAAGTTGTTGCAATCTGCCCAATTCAGCAGGAACTACTCCAGTAAAATTATTATTTCCCAAGTCAAGAAGCTGGAGCCTAGAGAGGTTGGTTAGCGACAGCGGAAGAGCTCCGGTAAATCTGTTTCCTCCAATCGCAAGCTATTGGATGCTAGGAAGGCTGTTCCCCAGGTTAGATAGTAGACGACCATGGAGCTTGTTGAGAGCCGCATAAAAGTAATAAAGACATGATAGGTTATATAGGGAAGGAGGAAGCACAACCCCAGATCTAGACATCACTGTCGGTTCAAAAACCCCCTTCACTGCCGGATTTTGAACCGACAGTGACATACCGGCAGTGATGGGGGGTTGACATCAGTGTCGGTTCTTAAAAACCAACACCGATCTATAGGAAACAGTGTCGGTTTCTGGCTCCACCCGACAGTGTCTAGTTGAACAACACTGTCGGTTTGTAGTCCCAACTGATAGTGATGGTTGCTTCAAGAGTGTCGGTTCTTGGCTCAAGCCAACAGTGTTGAGCAAGCCTACACTGTCTGTTCATGGCTCAAGCCGGCAGTATTGAGCAAGACAACACTGTCAGTTTGTTGATAACCGGCAGTGTTTTGCAAGACAACACTGTCGGTTCGTTGCTAACCGGCAATGATGGCCCATTTGCATTTTATTGTTTTATAATTGATTTTAATTTATTTTTTTCATGGAATCGGGTTTCACTTTATATACGCTACGTAGACGATAGGTCCATCAATATTAAATATTACAAATGTTACGGTTATAGTTCAAATGTTCTTATCGAGATCTCGATCCCTCAGAATAAAAAAGAAATGTTCTCGGACTTCACAGATTGTGCAATGCTTCTCAGACTTCTTATAATAATCTGGCAAGCCACTCTGGGCCATACTAGTCCTTGTACCTCACGGATTGTGCAATGGAAAATACTCCATCTTTTTCCAATACCTCGGCTAAGATGAATTTTACGAGCTCCGATTGCAGTGCGACGATCTCCATGTCTAACAGCCTTTGGTGGTTATATTTCTTGCGTCGTCATTCAAAAAAGATGATATCCAAAGAGGAACAGTAAATCATTTTGTTCAATTATTAACAGACATAAATGAAATAGGGATTATACACACCAACTTATTGGCTTCTTCTGATTTCTCGCCGATATAGCGAATCATTGCCCACATTACATAAAACCCGCATTCATTGTTTCCAGCCGGCTGTGACAGGTACTTCCCCTCCATTTCGACAACCTTGAATGGGACTAGCGTCCCACCGATATGTCTTCTTCGGACACTGAGCAACATTAAAGGGAGAAATATTAGAAATAGGTATGTGTGATTAGAAAATAATATGTTATTAGGATCGCTTACTAATTCAGCACTGCCACCGGTGCATCCAGATGATGAAATGGTTTTTTCTTCGAGTCCCACACCTCGATCAGATTTTTGGCAAGATTGACACAAATGAAGATGAAATGGTTGCTACAATCACAGAATCCTAATTATCGAATAATCTTAACGAAAAAAAGCATAAAATTAAAAGCTGAGAACACATACTCGCAGTTGTAGGCTAGAAGTATGTGGGTTTTCTTCTTCATCGTGAATTCGTCGAAAACAGCAATCAATCTCTGTTTCAGGTCTTCCATGTCACATCCATAGAGGCCTAGACATGTCCTCTCATTGACTTGCAAGGGGTTTAAGAAGCCTATGTAATCCCATTTGCTTTTTAGAATGCAAAATTTTGCTATACACCTACATAAAATCATGGGAAGTGCTCAAAAGTTAACAATTTGTCTCGAGAGAGTAGTTAATTGTAATATCATGCGTGTAGGGTACTTACATAGTCCACAGCGTCAACATTTGAACATCGAGAGAGCGTTTCTGGTATAGCTGAAATAAGCACTCCCACTCGACATTGAACTTCTCTTCTTTAGGATAATGGAAAACATGTGGCGAACAGATAATAACCTCAAAACTAAAGTCGTCCGGCTCTATTGCTTGAGCCATGTAATATGCATGCAACTGGCGCATATATGTTGTCAAATTTTTATACTCGTCATCGGGAACCAAAAGATTGCCCATTTCATATTTCATTGCCAGTGTTCCCGTCCCTTGTACATCATTATAGATGTTCGTGGCCTCTTCCATGGTTAATCCTGGGTTGTCTTCGACGTACTTCTGTATGTTCCTTAAATCTTTATTGTGTATTTCTTCGTCTCTTGTTGTAGCGTATTTATTCTGTGTTTGCCTTTCGAATTCGGACTTCACCAAATACGAAGGCAGTGAGGCACAGAGATTGAAGAAACTAACACAATCTTCCTTCGAGATGTGTGCTATAAATTTTTCTTTCATCAAGGTGGTAACGCTGCCACTGAACGTCCTTTTTCTTTTCTGTTGGTCCACTTTGGGAGCATTAGCGACCGAATCCAAGGACCTTTTCTGCGACTACAAGGATGTCCTTGATCTTGTTTTGGGCTGAGGTGGAGGAGGAGGAGGAGGATGACGACGAGAATTCTATTTTCCCGGCGCTAATGAAGATGGAGAAGGAGGGGGGGAGGAGGAGGAGGAGTCTCTTTTCTCGGGGCTGATGAAGATGGAGTCGGACGAGGAGGAATAGAAGGAGACCTCTGTCTTCACGGGGGTGATGGCTCCGGATGAGGAAGGGAGTGATCCCTGTTGGGAGATGGTGAGTGATCATCGTGGGTGGGCGAAGACTCGTAGTCATTCTCATCATCAGAGGACAATTGATGGTCAAGCTTAATGAAGCGCTTGCGCCAGGCCACTTGAGAGCCCTTGTTTTGACCAAGTTTCAGCCTGTCTTCCGCTATGGGGTACTCAATGGGTATCTTGTTAAACTTCTTATCAAGTATTCTATCAATGGTGACGTGAGCGTACCCCTATGGAATTGGGCGGCCATTAATTGTCCCATCTCCCGCAGGCTAGGCCTGGCCAAGCGCCACCTTGTCCTTTGTCCATTCCTGATGGATGTACAACTTGACATTGATGGGTTTAGTGATGCCGTCCACCGGATGAGGCACATTCACCTCTTCTTTGTTGAGCGGGGTCGATCCGCAGCTGCTGCGACCCCTAAACTGTGGGCTAAAGGCAGTAGGAGTAGGGTTTTATGGTACTCCTGCCCCTTGGACAGCAAAATTTGCTCGACTCGTGCTTCAACAGTCACCTCAATCCGTGCTTCCATTCTGTCTTCCATCTCTTTTAATCGCCTCAAATACTCTGCCTCCTGTTCCGCTCTACCCCTCGAGTGCTAGTTTCCAAGGAACAACACCGGTTCCTCTAGTGTGACCAGGGTGCTCCTTTGTTCCGAGTGCTTGGGTGAGCACGTCTTTCTCCCTATTAGAAGTGCGAGTCCCTTGCCTCACCTCCTTAGTTACCTGGAGATTCTCTAGATGAGTTCGCTCATGGGTTCATTTGTGGAGCTAAAGCTCCCATCCTCGGCATGCCGTACATTCCTCTCCATACAGTATAATACTGATCTGGGCTCCCAATCGACTGTCTCAACCTGAACGCCTTCCTCAGCAAGGCGATCCATCTTTTGAAGTTCTGCTTCAAATTCTGGCATCTTTTTGGTGTAGCCACGAGAGCCGAGATGATGAGGATTTGTCACTTTCTGCGAGTTCTCCTTATTCTTCCTGCTCAGTACTAAGTCCTTCTGCTTGCTAAACTATCCACCATCAAAATCTGGCTCTATATTTTGGAGGATAAAATTCTTGTACAATGTCCCATTGAAATTCTTGAAGCATGTCCCCATGATTTCTTTTGCTTTTTTCTTGACTAACTCCCTGTCATACTCGGTTGGGAAAGTGAAATACTCTGGGATCTTGACATCCCATATATAATCCTTCTCACTTTCGGTAACCCTCCACGGGTCATCATCTTTCCCAATCCACTTCCTGTACCTAATTGGCATGAAGTCCCTAACAAGTAACCCGAGGATAGTCTTGTATTTGGTCAAAGCTATAGGCGGTGAGAGTGGATCCCTGAATTCATCGAACTCAGAAATGTGCCAGTGTGCATTCCTACTAACAGGAATATTTGACACACCTCGCTGGGATCTAGCCTTCCTGCTACCTGAACCCTCTGGCTCCTTGGGCGGCGGAGGCTCCTGCTAGAGACACCAAGTAAGCTATGACCCTCTCAATTGATTAGCGTGTGTGGCTACATAGTCACATGATACCAAAGTTACTTGGCCATCTTGGTCATTTTGACCTAGATCGAGTAGGCCGGACGGGGTCCATGGCTGCTCGTTCTCACCAACCTGATTGACACCATCACCGTTTGTCGGATCATGTGGCTCTCCTGTCCCAGCGATATCAGCCGCTTCTTGTTGTCGATCTGTTCTTCGGCGACGGGGTAACAGGTGACGATGAGTCATGGCCGTGACACGATCATGGTTAGTTTTGGCCGCGGACAACTACTAATAGCATATGTTCATATATATATATATAATATGTTTAATGCAAAGTCTAATAATAAGTC